AGGACACAAAAAGGACACCACGTAAAACCAAAGGACTCTGGATGAACTCTGTAGGTGAGTTAAAAACTATGCATCAAATTCATGCAATAATTGTCACCAATATGCCTTATGTGTGTGATATGTTATTAAAGGAGAAACTGTATGCAGGGACAGAGGGTAATGCATTGCTCCATTTTTCTTTAAATCTAAAACTGTTCTAAAAAATAAGTTTTTAAAAAAATTTTCAAAAAAAAAGAGTGTCTAGAAGCCAGAGACAGAAGTCAGGACCCTCTCTGCTGGCCTTGAGGAATGGCTTCCATAGGCTCTACAAAGAAATGAGTCCTACACCGATATGGTGAGCTTGGCAAAAGACCTCAAGCTTCATGAGACACCCCATACCAAACCACAGCTCTCATCCTAGTTTTGGGAGAACCCAGTGAAGCTGGGCTGGAATTCCGATCCATGGGACTTATGAGATAATGAATGTTTATTGCTTTAAACTGCTACAATAAATACAAAACAAAGCCATACATAATAAACCATTTCAGACAAGAGTGAATGTGCTCAAGAAAATTAAATTAACATGTGGAAAGTACCAGGGTGTCATTAAACTGGGGGATCAAAGATGCTTCTCATAGGGGACTCTTTGAATGGAAATCTGAATCCAAAACCTACTACAGGGAAAGCTCTATGGGTCAAGGGATCAGCCGGGTCCAGGGCCTTGCAGTAAATCTCTATGTGTCTGGGTAGAATGGCAGCCAGGACAGCGGCTGGCGTGAGCACTTCTCTGTTCCAGATTCAACTATTTCTGGATTAAAGAGACAGCACCTCACACCCTGTGAAATAATAGTAACCAATTGTTTAATTAGTGTCATTGCAGGGGAAGGAATAAAGAAAGAGGTGAGAGGGGCTGGATCAACCAGATTATAGAGGGCTTCAAAAGAAGCATAAGGATTTTGGATTTTATTTCCAGTTCAACTGCAAGCTGCTAGACCACTGACAGTGATGAGGGACATATCTGATTCACGGTTTTAAAACATTAGGCTCACTGCTCTATGCAGGGCTGATACAGGGTGGCCGGAGTGGGGTCAGGGCAGTCAGACAGGAAATTCCAGCATCAGCCCAGATAAAAGATGGTGGAATCTCAGATCTGGCTCAGGGCAGAAAGGACAGAGGACCTCCAGCAAGTGTTAGAAGACTGCAGGGGGGTTCTTGATGGGGCGGCAGGGATTGGAGGTTCAGGATTATCTGCAGACCTGTCTGTGTCCGAGAAGTACATTCGGGGAGGGAGTCACAAGGGACCGTGGCGCTCACATGCTCCCTCAGCACGCCGTCTCTCCCTGTGTCACCCTGTTCCCGAGCTTCTGCGAATCACTGATGATTCATCAGGACAGCTGCTGGCGCCCAAATGGTGCTCTGCCAGTCTGAGCTAGATCCTCCCTGGAGGCTTTGCCAAAAGGGAAACTGGATCCCCACCACCTCCCCCAGCCTCCTGCACAACAAAGCCATCCTGCTTCATCAATTGCTTCCTCTGCAGTGAACACTAATTAAACAATTTGGTGCTAGTTATTTCACAGGGCGGAAGATGTCCTCTCTTTAACCCACATCTAGTTAAATCTGGAATACAGAAGCACCCTTGCTGCCCATCATCCTTCACACGGGGACAGAGGAAAGGCCGTGAGAAGAATCCTTTCCGTGTTTATTCTGGCCCTGGCAGTTTCACCTGAAGTCACCCACAATTCCATCTTCGGGCTCCTGACTCCAAATGTACCCTTTTCATTCTTTTTTCCACCTGCTCACCATACCCAGCCCTGGCCAGCTCTAGACACTGCTGTGATTGGCCTCCTCCTGCTTGTGTCTCACTTGCAGCCCAATTTAACCCCTTGGGCATGTGTCTATGCTTAGTTACAGACACCTGAGACCCCGACCTGGGTGAATGCTAAGGCTGTGGAGCCTCTTTTTTTTTTTTTTTTTGAGTCCCATTATGTGGAAAATATCTCACAGGAAGTGTTTGTCACGGGTGGCTGATTTTCCAAGTTCTTTAATAGGTCAAACATAGATTAACCCCTGGGGGGGCAGGGACAGGCCAGGTTCTGGGAAGGCTGGGCTCTTACGACACAGGCTTCTACAGGTCAAGGCCTCACCTCTGTGCCTGATCTCTCAGTTTAGCTCTCACAGCTAAGCAGGGCTGGGGAATACACAGCGGGCTCCCAGTCTGTCCCCTTCCCAGTTCCTAATGAAATCAACCTCCTGGGTCAGCAACTGGCAGCTGGGCTTGTGGACACCAGAGGCTGTGTCCAGCCCAGTGAGAATGGACTCAGATTTGAGAAGAGAGAGTATCTTCCAAACCCCTGAAGCTTCATCTTGCAACAAATCAAAAACACCACTTCAGGCACCAACAGCGAGCACTTTAATCTTCAGCCCCTACTGTTGGTGCCTTGCCCAGTGGTACCTCGGATTGTGTGTGGATGCCACTCCCTCCTAGCCTCTTTCAGGACACTTCACCTAGGGACAAAGATGGCAAATCTCCAGGATGAAGGGGAGGGCTATGAGACTGAATGACATGGATACCCTCCAGCCTGGATGGTGCCACAGATAACACGGTTCCTGGAACGGTACTTCCCCAAAACCTGTTGTCATACTAAGACTTTGTCGCAAAGTATGGCTTTGCCATTTAAAACAAAAAAACAAAAACGCAGTGCATGTCCAAGAAAAGCAAATTTATTTGGGCTCCTCAGTAATCAGGGCTTGGATGGGTCTTCCCAGCAAGGCCGAGGCCCGTTAGCACTGCTCTATCTCTTTGCATGTAAGATTAGAGAAATAGTCATAAAAGATCAGGTTAAAAAAAATCAGAAGAGGTCTTGACCAATCAGTTGCACCCTAGTTCCCCGGCACACTGCAACTGGAAAGAACTCTAAAGTTCTACTCTCTCACTAGTTCTCGGCTCTGTTTGCCTTTGAGGAGACCCTAGATGCCTGGCGTGGCTGGTGGTGGGGTGGGGGTGAGAGCAGAATCACTTTTCCATAAAAGCCCTCCAGGTGGCTCTCATGGACAGCAGGTAAGGACCGCTACCTGGGCAAGCAGAAAACAAGGTCCTTGTTCCTTAAGCCTGGGTGGAGACTACAGGCTCCTCACGGAGCCCAAGGCTTCCAGCCAGCTGCCCTAGAGCCCCAGCTTCAGGGAGGGTAGCTCAGCAGTACGGGCAGTGCTCTCACCCACCCAAGGTCTCAGGTGAGTGGGAGTGACCTAGTGACCTCACAGCAGTTGCAACTGTTGGCCTAGCCACTGTCACTCAACTCTGGCCTCTGTACTGGCTGACCTGTGCGGCCTGGGGAAGATAAGCCAACCAACACAGTGCTGGCTCCGCATCTGCAAGCTAGCTGAAGCAGTGAGGAAGGAAGGAAGCTCTCACACAAGTGAACGCTCTTAGGCTTACCACCTGGGAAGGACCTTGTGTCTGCCTGAATAGAAGGCACAGTTTGTGGATCAGGTACCTAGGAGCCGCAAATGCCAGGAAAGGGATGGAGATGAAAGCGATTCCACTCCCAGGGCTCCTGGATTCCTGCTCAGCACAGGCCTGTTTGCTCAGCTTTTCTCCAACTCCTGGGAGATCTCTCCAGAGCCACAGAAAAGCCCATCTGCTAGAGCTTTCTTTGCAGCTCCGAAGGTGACTTAGAGAAGCCTCACTCTGAGTGGGGCCGCGCCCCTTTTATCTTTGTACATTTTGGAGTCCTAAAAAGGTTGGCTTGTACAGAGGGAAACAAAAACACTTCCCCTGCTACAACACAGCATGGGAATGGTGGGCTAGCTGGATTGCATTTCACTGAAGAGACAGTCACACGGAGGAGGTGAGTGTGGCTGGGTTCCACAGCCTCCGTCTCTATAGGAGACCAGAAGGGTCTGGGAACGGCTGTGAGGAGCCACTACATCCCCTCCAACCCCCAGCCTCTGCCCTATCTGCAGGTCTGGACCCAGCAGAGGCAGCTCTGACATAGGCCATCTGGATCCCGATGGCGGAGAGTTTGATAGCTTCTTGGAAAGTCCCTGCTTGTCTGGGTACCGACTAGATGTGCTTTCAGCAAACAGAGTGAGCCTGCAGACCCCAAGTCAACCCTACAAAGATCTCCTCCTCTCCCAGCCAGAGCTGCCCAGGCCCAGGGATCGATGTGTGCATGGAGAGGGCCAAGCCGCCTTTACCCCAGCCTGATCTGTACAAAGAGCCACCTCTGCTCAGTACCCCAGAGCCTGGCTGTTCACAAAGGGCCCTGAGTTGGGCATTTGCTCAGGTGCCGGAAGCCCAGCTGACATCTCTTTCCACGCCTAGTAGTCATTTCCCTCCTTTCCGTAAGTATGCCTCATTCCCTCTGTCCAAGCCCCATTCCCCGCCTATCAAGCTCCACACAAGTCATCCTTTCCCTTTCCCTGATCATCCAAACCTGCAGCTCTGGACTGAGACTGCAAGGTGTATTGTAGCTCTGATGGGAAAGAAGAGGCACAGCAGATGGAGGGGCTTCCCCTTCAATGGCTAGAACCCATTCACTTCGCTACACAGTCCTCCTTATGTACAATTCCAGTTAAGGCCACCAGGTAGGCACCATGGCCACCATAATAGAGTAAGCGAGACAGAGACAAGAGAGGGTCTAGACGCATCCCACCATTGTCTTATCTTAAATGAGGAGGCGGTGTGAAGAGCTGTAAGTTGAGGGTGAGCATAGGCCTTTGGAGAGGATGCTAGATGCACAGGAAGCACCTCTCTCCTTGCCCCACACAAAGGCCCAGGGCCCACGTATATAAATATCCCAGCACTTCTTGGGTTCATTGCCCTCCAGGTCTGAGATCTCCAGTTGCCATAGCACAAGCCTCCTAATCCTAGACTCTCTCTTCCGTAGCAGGCAGTCAGATTCTAGAAGGTGAGGACCATGTCTTATTTTCCCATCTGCTATGACTTTTCACCGCTCTCCCAGGGCTCCAGTAGCCAGGCCCCATCCACCCCCATCCCACCCCAGAGCCTGTGGCCTTACCTCCCATGAGGAAGAGAAGCCCCGCCACATACTGCATAAGGCCTCGGTCCCAGCAGCAACCCAGCACGCCGATGATCCAGCCGAAGAGGATGATGGCCACCGCCATGCCCATGAAGCCAGCCGTCATTCTGCGCAGGTCTGTGGGGAAGCAGGTGGCAGCGGTGAGCATCAGAGGCGGGGACTCGGGGTCCATGCACCCTAGCCCTGGGGCGGGATGGAGAGGGCAGGGAACTGCAGGGGCGGGAAGGCAACCTGTCTTTCAGACAGCCTTCTGCCACCAAGCGTCCTGTGCAGAAGAGAGAGACCCTCATGGCCACTCTGTCCTCCTGTGCATAGAATGTCAGGACAGCAGGGTTGCTAAGCATAGGGAGAGCTCATCATAACGCACTTGTCATTGACCGTGCACCTCACGTGTGCCAGGCAAGTGCCATCCTCCCCATGCAGCTATGTTATCTTGGGGGACAGATGCTGTCTTTGTCCCTTCCTGCAAGATGGAGCAACTTGCTAAAAGCCACGCAGCTAGTAGAACAGGAACTGAGGCTGGCCCGGCCAATCCCTGCAGGAGCTGGACTCTCAGAGTGGGGAGAGCCAGGGAGACAGGCTGGAGGAGCTGAGCAGGGTCTCTGCAGTCAGGCTGCACCTGCCCCACACCTTCCTCCTTCCTCCCAGGGTCTGGTGGGCTCTCCACAAGGTCAACTGTGAGAGAAAGGCTGGCTGGGGCTTTCTGTGCTTCGCTGCTCGGGACCCATCAGACAAAGCCCGCAGTGGCTTGAAGAGGAAGGGGGCTGCCGGGAAGGGCAGTATTTTTAGCAGAAGAGAGAGGGCAGAGCTGCTGCCTGGGCTCAGCTGGCCACTCAGCGTCTTGCTCAGCCCACTTCCTCCCTGGCCCCTGCAGTCCTGTGTCTGGAGGAGGCTGCCAGAGCTGCTCACACAGGCTTCCCCCGCCGGGGTCATCTCCCTGCATGCTCTCCTTTCCTCTCCTCCCACTCCCCTTCCATGAACCAGCCTTCTCGCTGGAGCACCCCACCCCCATCACACCGGCCAGTCCCTCCACCTGCCCAAGTGCCATCGGCAGCTCCCTCTCGCCCAGGTGTACCCCAGCCCCTGCACCAGCCCCAGCCCATAACAGGGCTTCAAATGGAGCAAAGGCATTTCTCTGGTCTCTTCCCCAAGGTCTGGTTCCCCCAGGGTTCACAAAGGGCATGGCTGAGCACACCGGAGGAGCCCAGGGGCATCTCTTCTCTCCAAGAAATGAGTGAGGTGGAAAGGAGGATGTTAGCACCCCGTGAGCCCACAGAGTGCTGCCTGGACAATCTCATCTCATCCCAGAGAAAGACACACCTGGAGTTTGTGCAGGGAATGCTTGAGGGTCTGCATGCCTTGTGAACAAGTGGGCCAGGCCCTCTGTTCCTCTCTTACCCCAGCCACCCCTCCTGGAGACCATGCAGCGCCAACTAAAGGACCCTGGCACAGTGTGGCTGGGGCCCTCTGTTCAGGGATCTGGTTTCCGTGTACTGAAATGGATTATCAGACAGTCAATCGAGGGAGGAAGCTGGCTGGGGGCTGAGGGAGGGCAGGCACAGAGCGAGGACAGTGGCTGACCCTCCCCTCCGGTGAGGAAGCAGACAGAGCCAGAGTCGCCGAGGCAGGCAGCAATGCTGGGGAGCTGGAGAACTGCCCAGCAGGTCTCCTCCCTGCCCAGCTCTCCCAGCAACCCATGCCCAGGCCAGGTAGCAGTAATGCTCATTCCAATTACTTCTGTGAACGGACGGGGATGCCTAATTACCACGCAGCCCTGTGCTGATTGCTCATGTCATCGAATGAGTCAGATGAAGCTCTGTCAAAAGCATGCTCTAATCACAGTACTAATACCCCAGCCAAGCTTCCTGAGCCATCAGCCACAGCCAGCTTGCAGTGAAGGGAAGGAAAGGAGGAGGGGCCGTTCCTGCCCACAGGCCAGTCCCACTTTCACTGAACCCCCATGGCTGTCATGTCCCGCTCTGTTCCCCATATGCGCTCATTGTCACACGCCCTGCCCTGAGTCCCTTCTTTCTTCACCACAAGAGACGTGAGTGAACAGGACGTGAGCTGCCTCAAGGGGAAAGGTCCCAGAGGACATGTGAGCCTGTCTGGATTGATTCCTGAAATGGGATACCCTTTGCATTTGATACTTCTTTTCTCCCCACTGCCTTGAAGGACAAGCAGGAGCTGGGAAGGGCAAGAAAAGCACAAGATAATTTCCCTTTCGGAGGCTCCTATGCTCTGCTGCAGGAGGTAGCAGGAGGTCGAGCTGGTATATTCCTTCTGGGCCCTTCCCTTTTTGGAGCAGGAGGGTTTCCAGTGGGGGTGAGGGAATCCTGTTCCCTCTGGCAGCAGCTGAGACATACAGTCCCACCGAGCGCCTCTGTTCAGGCGACTTGAACTTGGTCTTGTGCACGGAGGAACTGCTGCCACCCGGCCCCCATGGAAGCACAGGAGCAAAGGTGCTGTCTGCAGGGGTTAAGTGAACAATGGGTCATGTTGGGTGAGTCCACTTGGGCCCAGATGGATGGAAAAGTGAGTTAGGCAGAAAAACCAAAGCGAAAAAGAAAGGAAGGTGATTGTTGTTGGAAGATGCAAGCAAAGTGTTTTACTTAGGAGAGCGTGCATGCGTAGAAAGGCAGGGAACTGAGGAGAACTCTTCCTCTTCTAAGTGTTCTAGGCAGACACCTATCACCTGGGGCCCAGCTCAGGGAGGACAGTTTAGATTAATGCCTCTGCCCTGTCTCCCAAAGGGCTTGGCAAAGAAAAGATGGGCTGCGCTGGGTCACTGGCCCGGAGACGGGGATGGAAATCAGGGTCTTGCGCATGAGTTGTCGCTGACCCGGGAGGATGCTGGTAATTCCCTGTGGGTCCGACTTTGCTGGAGCTGAGCATGAAAGGCTGGTTATTGTGTCCTTCCATGGTAGCTCTGGCAAGGTCTGAAGGTACGCAGGATAGGAATATTCCTATCTTATAGATCAAGTATGCAAGATCCAAAGATAGTAAATAACATGGACAGTCTCAAAGCCAGTGAACTAGAAGGGTAGTTAACACCTGCACTATTGAGTTATACGAGAAGATAAAGAATAGAATTAAAGATCTATTATGTTATAATGCAAGATTGAACCAATGTATCTAGGGTTTCTTCCTCCCAAACCAAGCCAGAACTACAGTTTAAATTGGGATATTTTTTTAAAGACAGAAATTCACAAGGATGGGGAAAATAGGAAAAGAGGTGATGACCAGAGCAGGAAGACCAGGAGCCGTGGAGCTAATGGACAGTGGGATTGACTTAGTGCAAGCGCCAGCTCAGAAGCAGCATCCGGGATCCCAAGCCCACTCGCTCACTTCTATGCATGCAGACTGGCACACAGGTGCCCTTAGACCAGGTGGTTAAACAGAAGGGAGAGAGGTCAAACAGGCTCTGGAGCAAGGTGTCCAAGAAGGAACTAGATTCCTGCCCTGTCTACTCCACGTCATCAAGGGACACCCCTTGCTCCCCACCCAAGGGGCACAAGACAGAGTACTCAGGAAGGGGCTTGAAGAGTTGAGCATTGGCCAGCACACTGCAGAGTCAGGGTACCACACACTGATAGGGTGACTGTGTGCCTCGGCTGTTCAGCCTCGCCATGGAGACCCCAACCCTCTTCTCCTTGGGTGCCATGAGCTGAATGCCAGGCCTTTGCCCCCAGCCTAGATACAGGGAGGGGACTTTCTTGCTCCATGAACAATCCCTCAGGCCACTCCACAATGAAGCCTTAAGTGGACTTGGGGTCCCCTCACTGACTCACTGATCGCTAGATCTTTAGCTCTTCATTTTTACACATGAGCAGATAAGCCACCTCCACCCATCTGAGAAGGGCGATACCCAGGGGCATGGAGGGAGCAACAACTTGGGGAAACAAACTGCAGGGGGAAGATAAACATAATTCAAAATGATTAGCATCCCCAGAGAGGTAAGAACAGAAAGATATGCCTCTATGGAGTCAAAACAAAGTAGAATTAAAAAGGACCTGCTGGGGAACAAAAATAATACCTTGAAATAACAATCAAAATCCATGTAATTTTTATTATAAATTCAACCCTAATTTATGTATGAGTGGTCCTAACTATGCTGCAAAAAGACCTAAGGAGGCTTACAAGACCCACACAGCAGACCAGCATAAATGACGATGTGAAGGACAGAAAGAAAAGGGTGATGATGCCAGGTATCATATTGATACAGAAAACTTGGTCCATGAGGCCCTGTGGAAGGTCATTATGCCACCGTATGTGAACTCAGAGCCATTACATTGTATTATTTCCACTGTTTTAAATTTCTACTGACTTTTGTTTGCACTTCAGTCCCAACTACCACTCTACCTATGGTATGGCCATGTGCAGATGGCACCACCGTCATCCAGCCGTCTGGACCTATGGGTCTCTCTCTTTAGGGTAAGAGAGGCCATTTAATTCTTCCAGATCTCACAGGGCCCACAGCAGTATTTTGTATTCAGGAATTTGCATAGCTTGTTATTTCTTCCCCTGTGTCTTTCTCCCTTCTTAGATGGAATGAAGGAAAGAAGGGAGGGAGAGAGGGAGAGAATGAAAGGAACAGAGAAGGAAAAGGGAAAGGAATGGAGAAGGGGAAGGGGAAATGTGAGGGAAGGGGAGGCAAAGGAAGGAAAAGGAAGGATAGGGAAGGGAAGGAGAAAAAAACCCTAACTCACCTGAGCCCTTAGAAAACCATACTGAGCTATCCTAAGAATAATTCTGCTGGAAAGAGCCTTGAATGTAAGTTTGACTCCGAAGTCAAAGACTGAGATTAAAAAAAAAAAAAAAAAAATCTCCCCATTCATGTTGGGTTTGAGTTCATTTTCTGCACTGTATGACCCTAACATTTAACATTCTAATTTTTGAGATGAGAAAGGTGCACTCTAAACTCTTTGGGATTTAGTTCAGTGTGGCGGAAAGGAGTGGGCAGAGGGAGGTGGATAATGGGGCAGGGTAGAGGAGGAAAGGCAAGAAGAACCATTAAATAGAGCCAGAAAAAGCAGTTCTCCCTCATGGAAAAATTTTGATTTTGAAGTTTACACTCTTATTAACATTTAAATTGAAAGGTATTGCTTGCAAGTCTA